GGGTTTTGTTGTTGTTTTACCTTGCTTTTGGTTTCATCTCCAAGAAATCAGTGCCAAATCCAATGTCATGAAGCATTTCCCATAAATTTTCTTCAAGTTTTATAGTTTTAGGTCTTACATTTAATTATCTGATCCATTTTGAGTTAATTTTTGTTTATGATGTAGGTAAGAGTCTAACTTCATTCTTTTGCATGTGGATATCAAATTTTCCCAGCACTATTCCTTCCTTAGGGAATGGCCTTGGCACCCTTCTCAAAAATTATTTAACCATATTTGTGAGGGTTTATTCCTGCAATCTAGTCCATTGGTCTATATGTCTGTATGCCAGTACCACACTGTTTTGATTACTGTAGCTTTGTAGTAAGTTTTGAAAATGAAGTGTGAGACCTCCAAGTTTGTTGTCCTTTTTCAAGATTGTTTGGCTGTTTGGGATCTATACGCTCTTTTATAGTTACCTGTATAGTTATCTTTACCAGTGCTCTTTATTTCTTCATGTGGATTCAAGTTTCTGCCTAGTATCCTTTATTTCAGTCCAAAGGACTCCCTTTACTATTTTTCTAGGGAAGTTTGCTAATGATAAATTGCCTCAGCTTTTGTTTACCTGGGAATATCTTTTTTCCTCCTTTTTGAAGGATAGTTTTATTGGCTATAGAATTTTTGGTTGACAGTCTTTTTCCTTCAGCACTATGAATATGTCATCCTACTGCCTCTCACCTTTATGGTTTTTGATGAAAAATCTCATCCCTTGGATATGATGAGTCTCTTCTCTTTGCATTCAGGATTCTCTCTTTGTCTTTAGCTTTCAACAGTTTGATTATGATGTGTCTAGGGGAATTCACTGAGCTTCTTGGATGTGGAGATTAATTTTTTTTATCAAATTTGGCACACTTTCAGCTGTTATTTTTTGAAATATTCTTTCTACCCCTATTTCTCTCTTCTTCTCTTCTGAGACTCCCACCATTCATGCATTGGTATGTTTTATGATGTCCTGTATGTCTCTGACCCTGTTCATTTTCTGCTTCATTTTTCTTTATACGCCTCTGACTGGATAATCTCAATAAACTGTTTTCAGGTTCACTGATTCTTTCTTCTATCTACTGAAATCTACAGTTGAGCCTCTGTAGTAAATTTTGATTTCAGTTATTGTTCAACTACAAAACTACTTCTACTTTGTTCTTTTCTATAATTTCTATCTCTATATTTTTTATTTGGTAAGACATCTTTTTCATACTTTCCTTTAGTTCCGTAGACATGGTTTACTTTAGTTCTTTGAACATACCTAAAATAGCTAAAGTTTTGTCTACTAAGTTCAACATCTGGGCTTCCTCAGGGACAATTTCTATTTCTATTGATTGCTTGGCAGTTTTTCTTGAAAACTGGACATTTTAAGTAATATAAAATGGCATCTCTGGAAGTCAAATTCTTCACCCCAACCTCAGTGTTTATTGTTGGTATTTGTTGTTTTTGTTGTTTAGTGACTTTTCCTAAAGGTATAAAGTCTGTATTCTTTGACATATGTGACCATTAAAGTCTCTACTCAGTTAGCTTAGTGGTCAGCTAAGGATTGGAGAGAGGTTTCCTTAAATGCCAGAAACAGTAAGTCTCCCAGTTTTTGCCAAAGGTCTCTGTGAGCATGTTGGAGCATCCCTTCAATGCTCAGCCAGGCAACTGACAACTATACCTGAGTTTTAATTTCCTATTTTCACAGAGCCTGAAGGTCAGCCAGAAGACAGACCTAGGGCCTTCTTATGTTTTTCCTGATCATGTGCACAGCCCTATGCATGCACGTGGACTTCTAGATTCCCAGGAATATGTCAGAGTTTTTTAGAATCTCTGTGGACATCTCATTCCCTAGCTTTTCTCAGCCTATTGTTTGCCCCGACTGTTTTCTAATGTTTCCAGTAGCCAGAAAGTTAAACAATTCCAACTAAATTTTTTTTTTAACGTTCCTTGGGAAAGACTTTTTGCACTGAGTGAGCTCTGAGTCAGGTAAAATAAAGACAGTCTTGCAGGTCTTTAAGGGAACCACCCGAAAGGTCAAATAATGACATTTCGCTGGAAATGAGGCTTTGAAGCAACTCCAGCCCCATTCTGCTCCCTCCTGTGGTTTCCAGGCTTCTTGTTTTCATTGCGATTGCAGGCTGTTGGTTTTCAAGGCTACCACAGAGCTGGAAAGAGAGGCATGGGAATAGGACAGATTAAAGCTTTACAAAGCTCACAGCCCTTACTGAAATTAAGCTATTTTTCATAAATGCTCCCCAGGTTGCTGCAAGCATTTTGTTAATTTCTGTAATTCTGGAAAACTTCATTCTTACATTTTTTTCCAGTTTTCTCATTGCTTTTATAGAAGAGAGAATTCTGGGAGGTCATTCTGCCACCATTTTGCTGTCTCCTAAGTCTCTAATCTTTAGTACACATCTTTTTAATATTCTGTGTGATGAAATGGAAGAACATATAAAGCATTTCTGCATACTGAAGTACAATGTTTGCCTCAAATAAAAGCACTTGTAGAATGGTTTCAGTTGCAAACTGAACTAGCTGCTTTTTTCATGGAACACCGTTTTTTCTTGACAGAATGATAATGTTATTCAGACATGAGTATTTGGCAGATATTTTCTTGAAAATGAATGAAGTGAGCCTGTCATTTCAAGGAAAACAACTGACAATTTGATACCAATGGTAAATTTCAAACTTTCAAGCAACAATAACAATTGAGGAATGCTTGTATCTATTACAGGTTTGACAACTTACCAGTACTTACATTTTTCTGATGAGATTGGTGACGATGTTAATGAATGTAATCTTTTGATATGACATAACGAAATGTGTCAGTCTTTGGAAGATCTACATTATTTCAGGAACCATTATCATCCAATGATCAATGCATGATTTTAACCAAAATCACGATTTTTACTAAAATCATGCATTGGTAAATGGTTCTTTCAAAGTTTAAGATAGATCAATAGATTTTAATATAAAAGAATATAAAATAGATACATTGTAGATATGGTTTCAGATTTCACATTTCAACTAACCTTCAAGAAACTACCACTTATCAAGTTCTGGTAGAATATCAAAGAAGAATATCCACAATTATCTGAAAAGGATACTAAAATCATCTTTTTTCCAACTATGTATCTTTTTAAGGCTGGATCTTCTTCATACAGTTCAGCTAAAATAACATTTTAATAGATTGAATATAGAAGCAAATATGAGAATCTAGCTACATCCTATTAATCCAGACATTAAACAGATATACAAAAGTGTAAAACAGTGCCGCTCTTCTAATTTTTTGTTTGGAAAATAGTTATTTTTCATTAAAAAATGTTTATTTATTTTAACATATAATGGATTTATTGTTTTAAGGCAATTAACACATAGTTTTAAAATTTATATTTTAATTCCTACTATGTTAAATATCAAAAGCTGTAATGCACATAAGTTCTTTAAAGCCCTTAATAATATTTAAAAGTGCAAAAGGGTCTTGAGTCTGAAGCGCCTGAGAACTGCTTATTGCTAGTTTTTCTAAGATCAAAGCCCTAACCACAAACAACTGGAAAACATAAAGGTGGCTATTGTTTACTACTTAATTCAGTTGCCCATATTTAGTCCCAATATATTTTTGTGACCCATGTCCAAAGTCTGCGAGTTCTCACAAGAATGATGGTCAGAATTATTTAATCTGCACAGAACATTTTATGCTAAGCCTTTCTTCTTCTTGAATAGGCCATGCTTTTCTATCTCACTGCCTTTGTGCAAAGTTGTTACCTCTGCCTGGAAAGCTCTCCCAGCCCTTCTCTTCACAATTCGTATTTATTCTTCAGATCTCAGCTCAAATATCACCACCTCAGGGAAGCCTATGCTGATCTAGTCCTTCCAAATCTCTTATATCCCCCAGATTTAATACTCCGTAATTTCTCTCATAGGTCCATGCACTTTTCTTTTATAGCACGTATCACAATTAGTAAATGTGTATTTTTGAGATTATTTGATTAATGCCTTTATCGACCTCTAAACTTTAGCTCTACAAGGGCAAGGTTGTTTTGTTTTGTATTGTTTGCTTACCATTTTTTCCTCAATATGTGTTTGGCAGTGTACATATGCAGAATGAGTCAAGTATTTTCCAATATGAAAACCACATGTTGAGGCAAAGATGAGTACATTTTGTTGATTGTCCCATCATTTTAAATAGTTTTTCAAATTACCAACCATGAGTTATGAGAGATCTGTTGAAAAGAGTTTCTATTATATGAGCTGCCAAGTAAAAAGATATCTCAGCAGTACAATCATTCTGAAAGAAATCAGATCGCTTGATTTGCTCACACAGATGCCATTTCACAGAACTTTCTCCCAACTCATGCTTCTTAGTTTCCAAGCTTTTTAAAAAATAAAATACGAAAAGACTTTTTACTAATGGTTAGGTTGGGTCTTTCTCTAAAAATATCTTTTATTAAATGCAGGAGGAGATTGGATTCATGATGTATTATTTCTTTTGGGACTAATGATACTTTTTCCAACTTCAGAAATTGTTTTTAAGACCGCAGAAGTATCAGATTAAACTAATGTGGTGACTACCTCAGGACAGTAATATTTTATTCTATTTTCCTTCCAAGAATGTAACTGTTAAAAATTACTACGGTTATTTATTCTTCACTTTACAATTTATTAACTGAGGGGATCATATTTCATTCTTCTTCCATGTGAGTAACTTTTTTGTGTGTTTTCATGCAGCAGAGACAAATAGTTTTTCATTTGAGAACTCTAGACTTTGGTCCTGTTTTAATTAGGAGACTTTTGAGATTTGGATGAAAGCAGCATATTGTCCTTTCGGATAGTCAGGCAATACTTGCAAGATCTGTCTAACCATAAGAGTTACAAACCCCTTTTAGATAATAAGTCTAGTATACTTTAACAGCAGTGCTTTCAGAACTTATAGGCTTTACTTTAGAGCACTCAGTGTTGATCTTATTGCTGATCTCAAATGGTTTTGTTTTACACAGAAACAAATGGATATCAATGCTGCTATTCAAGCCCTGATTGAATCACATACTGCCCTACAGATGGAGGTAATATATCTGGCTTTATTTACACTGGCACCCTCAATCTACAAATTAAACAGAAATTTTTTTCAGAGGCCCAAATGTGACTTTATCTCAAAGTCTGTATTTAAAAGAGATTAAAAGTAATGAAAAAAATTTTAAGGACAAAGTAAGCAATTTTAATAAACAGAAATATATGCATCAGATGTTTTTTAAGGAAAACATTTAAAACAAAAATATAATATTGTTAAAGGATTTTTTAAAATAAGAATTTGGTACTACAGAAGAAAATAGTTAAATGAAGTTAGCCATTTCTTAAAATGGGATCTATCTATCATCACTACTCATTTTTCTTATTTAAGCTCTATTTATTCATAATATAGGTTTTTTTTTTTTCAAATTATGCAGTAGACATAGTAATTAAGTTTTATGTCAGCTTGAAAACTGGACTTTTGAGTGTGAATTTAAGCTTTTATTAATTAGGATCAGGATTAATAAAACATACAAATATACCTATAGTTAAATATAAACTGTTCTTTACATCCTACTCCCAACTCCTTGCACACAACAGGAGTACATTTTTCTTCTGCCTTGCTCCGTGTTGATCATTTGGGTTACATGCTGGTAATGACTACTCCAAGCTTCTTTGCTAATATGATTCTCACAATGACTTGGCAGAGCTACCAGAATACTGAAGTGACCTTAATTGACCACAGTGCAGAGATACTCGAAACCTTGAACTACCTTAGCAATTTACTGCACAGCATCAAGAACCCTCTTGGCACACGAGATAACCCAGCACGAATCTGCAAAGATTTGCTTAACTGTGAACACGAAGTATCAGATGGTAAGTTACTGGTTTCCTTAAACTCTGATATCTAATTTTCCTTCATCGTGTCAGTGTGTTTGTTTGAGATTTGCGGTGTATTTATTCCAAACCTTATCATTTTTGATAAAACCCTGGCAGAGGCATTTTAACATCAAGAACCAAATACGTACTCATAGAGGTAAACATGTTTCTGAGGTCAAAGTATCCTTTTTCAAGGGTTCACTTTACAAAAGGTCTTCCACTGCACAGCCTGACTTATGGCAACATGAGAAAAGAGATCATATAATCTCTTTTCATATAAGAAAAGAGATCTCTATAATTAGTTTTTACATAAAATGGAATTTAAATGTCTCATTTCAGTATCAGTGACTATAAAGATGGAGTGGCTTGTCATTCTTGGAATTTTCTCATCCTCACATTGATACCCCAAAATCCATTAGCCAGAGGTGCAAAAACAAAACCATCAGGGAAAGGTTTAAAGCAAGTGGAAGAGCCATCACTATCTGATGATAAGTAGGGGAAACCCTGTCTGCTACAATATGTCATTTAATTTTAATTTCTATTGGGTCTACCTGGTCAGCTGTACAATCAATATTAGTAGTTATCATTTTTTGGTAAAAACTCTAGTCTTAACACACAATGACATATATGCTGATTTGAAAATAACTAAGTTATTTAATTCTGCAGGATGAATAGTAGTCCATATTTTATTTTATACACACACACATACACATATACATATATATGTATAAATACATGTTTGTCCAAAAACATCTTCCATTCTAGAATACAGTATAGTGAAAATATTCATTTTATTTATATTAATAAAATGCTTAACTTCTACAGATATTTCCTGCCCTAGATTATCACAAAAACAAATAATATTTACAGTTATAGCTGCCTACAATAATTCAAATTTGATTCTTTCCCATATTTGAGGGTATAAAAATGCAATTCTATAGAACTGAAAGGAACAAAGACACTACAGGACATACAAATTACTGAAATCTAATTCAAGGTCTGCCTTCCTCATAGGAGAAATAGCTAAGTGGTATGGCTTGTAAGGTATCAGAAAGGTCTTTACGCCCAAAATTACTTTCATCACTAGGAGATTGTAAGTGCAATAGAGAAACACAAAACAGCAGGGAAGAGGGGATGTGACAGAAAGTAGGGTGGGGGGGTGAAGTGGTAAATAGAGTAGGTAGATAAAGCATCTCTGAGAAAGTGACATTTGAGCAATAGCAGAAGGAGGTAAGGGAACAAGCCACAGGAAATCTGGGGAAAGAGCTTTCCAGGAAGAAAGAACAAACGCACAGGCCCTTGAACCTGAGCGTGTACTTAGCATGTTCTACTATTAGCAAGAAGGCCAAGGTGACTGGAAGAAAGCACATAAGGGGAAGAATGGTAGGAAATGAAGTCAGAAAGATGTCAAGAAACCAGATTATACAGGATCTTATAGATTACTCAAAAGACTCCAGCTTTTACTGAATAAGATGGGAAGCCTCTGGAAGATTCTGAGCAAAGGAATGACGTGACTTGACTTACATTTTTAAAATGTTACTCTGGGTGTTGTTGTACTGCAGATATAATGAGGACAGGGTAGAAGGAGACACTGAGAAGACTACTGAAATAATCCAGTAAGAGATGATGATGGCTTGGACTAGAGTTGGTGGTGGGGAAGTGATAAGAAATGGCCAAATCTTTGGCTATGTTTTAAGGTAGAGCCAGCAGTTTTTTGTTGGTAATTCGGATGTGGGTTGTGAGAGAAATAGAATGATAAAGGATGACTCTAAGATTTTTGACTAAGGGACTAGAAGAGTGGAATTGCAGTCAAAAGAGATAGAGAAGCAAGTTTGGAGACAAGATCAGGAGTTCGGTGTTGGATGTACTTAATTTGAGATGTCTGTTAGGCATTCAAGTAAGGATGTCAAGTAGGTCATTGGCTATTCAGGAGTGAGGTCCTGGCTAGGGGTAAAATTTATGAAGCCATTTGCATATAAACAGTATCCAATGCCCTGAGACTGTTTAAGACTATCTAAAGAACAGATAAAGAAAAGAGAAGAGTTTTAAAAACTGTGCCTTAGAGCTCTCCAATGTTTAGAAAGGTCAGGGAGTTGAGGGGGAACTAGCGAAAAGGACTAAGAATAAGCTATCACTGAGATAAGAGGAAAACTAGATGAATGTGGAGTGAAGAAAATGTTTGCCTGCGGAGCAGGGGATGTACTGGGTCGATGTCAAGTTAGGTGAAGACTGAGAAAGGCTACTAGATTTAGTAACGGGAAGGTCTTTGATGGTCTTCGCAAGAGCGGTTTAGAGGAATGGTAGCAGTTAAAACTGTATCAGGTTTTCAGAGAAAATGGTGGAGCTGGAGAGTTTCCACTCCCATTAATGAAGCAGGTAATTCAATTTGCCTGACAAAACTTTTGAAAATTAAGTTAAAAGCATCCAATACTGACAAAGTAGTGAGGGACTTTCAAGCCAATATTTTGAAAAAGACAGCAGAGAGATGAACACATACTTAGAGCTACTTTTGCCCTGGGTGTGTTCAGAAACTGAGTAGCGCTTTTGGTCAAAGTTTGGAATCTGAAGTCCACAAAAGGTGGGGACTTAACTTAGGCTTTCACAGGGCTCCACTTTTTTTTCTGTACGCGGGCCTCTCACTGTTGTGGCCACTCCCACGGAGCAGAGGCTCCGGACGCGCAGCCTCAGCGGCCATGGCTCACAGGCCCAGCCGCTCCGCGGCATGTGGGATCTTCCCGGACCGGGGCACAAACCCGTGTCCCCTGCATCGGCAGGCGGACTCTCAACCACTGCGCCACCAGGGAAGCCCAAAGGGCTCCACTTTAAGAGTAAAAATAAACTGAAAGAAAAGATATTCGTACAGATTGCAGCCTAGCTTCACATCGTCAAGATTGCTCAGAAAATCACAAACTGTGAACTTGGATTAAGATGATTCCAGACTGCTAGTAACCCCTCATACCTGATAGAAACAAACAAAACTCCTCTATAAAAGATAATATCATCCCAGGGCTCAAATTATTTCCACAAATAATTTTTCAAATATAGTGCCCAGCACACAATCAATGATAACTAAGCACACAAGTTGACAGAACACCACGAATGAGAACTGGCAGAAACAGCAGACAACAGAAGCTGACTCGAAAGAGGAAATAAGAAGAGGAAAAATTTGAAATGGAAGGTTTAATGGACAAGGTAAACCTTAATTTAGGAACACGATTTATTCACAATTATAAGAGAGAAGGCAGAATATATGTGTGCAAGTACAGATAGATGGGTAAAGGTCATAATGGGAGCTTATGTAAGTTTCCTTCAGTTTGCTTCAGTTGTCTCAGTGAAACAAAGATTATCAGTCAAGAATAAGAATGGGGCTTCCCTGGTGGCGCAGTGGTTGGGAGTCCGCCTGCCGGTGCGGGGAACGCGGGTTCGTGCCCCGGTCCGGGAGGATCCCACATGCTGCGGAGTGGCTGGGCCCGTGAGCCATGGCCGCTGAGCCTGCGCGTCCGGAGCCTGTGCTCTGCAACGGGAGAGGCCACAACAGTGAGAG